CCCCAAAACCCCAAAACCCCAAAACCCCAAAACCCCAAAACCCCAAAACCCCTTTAGGCGATAGTTTAGTTGAATTATGGGTTAAATGTTAGACTAATTTTAAACAGACACTTGGGGGGTTTAGGAAATTAGGGATTTGAATTCAGCAGTTTGGTGAAGAAAGGTGCTGAGAGATGGTCTGTGTGGGGAGAGAGATGGATAGGGGGTTGAGGAAGAAGAGAGGTGTTTGGAATGGAGGAGGGTTGATGTAAGGGAAATTTAGAGAAATAATTTAGCTGATAAAGGTGTAGTCAAGTTACTCTTCTTTTAGTTTAGGCCTCTTTTTCTTGCCTTTGGCTTTGGCAGAAGCAGCATTTCTTTTCCTATTTTTCTTTTTAATTGTATTTCGTCTATTTTCAAGAGCTTTAGCTTTCTTAGCAGCTAAATACTCTTTCTTTTTCTCAAAAATCTGTTTAGCTTTGATATCTTCGTCCTGTACTTTCTTTAGTGTCTTTATCATAGCTTTCTTTATTGGAGACTTTTCTTGCTCAAATTTGTCAATTAAAGTTTGACAAAAAGTAGACATGTTAATTTTTACGCTGTCTTTGATACAATTTCAGAATTTAACCTTAGAAGCGATGGACTCAATCCAGTCGAAAAGAGCAAAATTTACAGCTTCAGCAATGTTGAAACCTGAGTTAAAGCCACAGTGATAAGCAGTAGCTCTCAAAACAATGAACTCTCCGGGTTTTTGAATTGTCTTTCTGAGGTTTATACCCTTCTTCCTAAGAAGAGCTGGATGTATCAGAGTATTCTTATGGCGGAGATACTCTGATCATTTTTCAAACCGACCTGTAAAAATTCTCTTCGCAAGTGTTTCAAAGTCTTCATTAGAGTCTAAATCTACTGAATACCAGTATTTAGGAGCTCCTAAGTGAAGGAAGTTGATTGAGTAGAGGTCATAATCTTCCTTGTGCCACCCAAACATTGTCTTCCATCCTCCAACATAAATGTAAGGATTATTAACTCCAGAGAGTTGAAGGTTATCCAGGCCTTCTTTTAATCAAGTGTCTAGCTCCGCTAAATTCCATGGAATCCCTTTATCCATGAGCGAACCTTCTATATCTGCTCCATAGAGAGGAGCATTAAGCTTGAGGGTCTTCCAAAATAGCTTCTCAATTTCGGTGAAGCTCTTCTTACGAGAAGAGTACTCTGTCTTGCTGACAAGTTTCCTGTATTTCTCAAGGGTTCTAGATTCTCTAAGCATATAGAGAAGTTCATAAACTCCATTGCTGCCCCATACATTTTGCTCTATTGGTTGCTGTACTGTCAAATCAAGGTGGTCATAGCCTTCTTTTCTTGGCTGCCATCCTTTGGGAGGGATCACCTTGAAAGCACCAGCAGTGCCACACTGAGCTTCGCAGTCTTCGCAATATTTGCTGAAATTAGAGAATTCCTCCTTGGTCGGATGGAATTCAGGTATGAAATTAATTTTAGTCAGCTCTTCTGGGTCCATTTCTATTTTGCAAACTTTCTTAAAGATTATTATTTTTCAAAGGCTTCGGCATTAGTAGGGGTTTTGGGGTTTTGGGGTTTTGGGGTTTTGGGGTTTTGGGGTTTTGGGG